ACAGTTTTGGACTGGCACGAACTAATCAGTTTCCAGAGCTTCTGACTGGTACTTCGACTGCCCGTCTTCCAACCGTAGCAATCAAAATGAATACAAGTCGTAGAGTAGAAAACTTGTAATTCTAACAAAGATGCAAAGAAGGCCAAAACAAGACGTCGGTACAAGTTCAGTGGTATATTGAGCAAATCGCGGTATCAAAGCATGATACCGTTTGAGGCAGAAAAGAAGTCTAGTGAAGTATATCTTCACGGATTCCACATAAGCTAATCCCTATGAAATTTTTAACGGATTCAGCGATCAAAAGGAATGGACTGAACAGATGAAATATTGTGTAGAGGCTGTGTTGGCAGCAGCAGATGAATCGAATACTCCTTCTTACCTCATCAAGTTCAGCCAACACTTGTTTGGTAGATGCTTCAAGTCTCGATCGGACAGATTCAAGCAGCACAAGGAAATCTTCTCCTGTCCGCATATCTGAACCAAAAATGCTAAAAAACGGCAGCAATCAGCAGACAAACGCCAAATGTGTTCCATTCGTTAATCACCGTGCTTGATAACGCCCGATAACGAATTCTAAAATGGCAACAAACAACCTAGTTACTTGCTCTCCTTATACGTTACTCATACCCTTAATAGGAAAACTTTTCTCGAAGTACCCAAAAAGTCAAGTAACATAGAGCCTAGATAGTTCAAAAATACTGAGTGATTATAAAAAGAATAGTTTGGTAAAGTAGCACCACTGTCTCAGACATATGAAACAATATGGATGTCAACACATGGTTGAAATTGCTATACCATCCCGTCCATCACAGCGCTGACATCTATTTAATAAATCTGTCAGCGAGCAATCTGATACCGCTAAAAAACGCTAAAAAAGAAATGAAACACTCGCAGCAGGTTCCCTATTCTGCTATTTCTGGAGCGACTGAATAAAAAGGCTTCATTCAGTTCCAAAGGCGACAAAACGTCAAGTTTGCGGAAGAGACGACCAAATACTGGTTAGTCTCTTTGAACTCTTCATTTACAAATCAAGCGCTGACATCCCTTTTCGTTCATATGGTACTATCAAAAATCAGTGACAAGGTATCTGAGGGAAATGTGATTGTGAAGGTTACCCAAGCCTAATTCGCCAACGATTTGTACAGTCTCTCTGATAAACACAAAAACGAACAAACAATTATTGATGATCCGACTGCTTTTCGGTCGAATGGGAAGATAAATATTCCTCTTTGATATGCGCCACGCATTCTACTTCCATTCAGAATTCGTAGTGGCTTTTGAATGCGATGTGGCCTATACAATGACTTGCGGGGGCCAGCCGATGTACAAGTCAGTGTTTTTATCCTCCCAGACAAGTCTGGTACCAATTAACCGACCCCGGAGGGATGGAAGGCTTGGTTGGCCCGGGCGACTCACCCAGGATTTGATCCCGGACCAAGAGCGTGGTAAGTAGTGCCACAAGCCACAGTACCGCTTCCAAATCAAATGAAAAGATTAAAGTGGTGACGCATTAAGCACAGGCTTAAACGCTACTTGGCTTATAGAATGACTTGCGGAGTCCTCCCTATGCGATGTTTTTACCCTCCCGAACGACCCTGGTACCAGTCAACCAAACCAAAAATGAACGGAAAACTTGGCTGCCCTAGACAGGATAAAATATCAAGCTTGACGCCACACAATGCGCGCAGTAAAGCGATCACTTCCCCTACACCGTTCCTCTCTTCCCACTTTACAGATATCCCGTTTGTTCATTTTGAAAAGATGACGATCTTATTCAGGCTCTTGCTGCATAAATTTATTTGAAATTGAATGGGCAAAAGGGGTGATTCGGAGATTTCTTGCTGAACTGCATTTCACAATCTACCTATTCCTTCCCCACATGAATAATGTGAAAAACATGATTTTTTCTCGGGAATAATTAACTCAAAAGTGATGCGATTCATAGGCTACGCTAAGAACTGCTTGGGAAAACCAATGCAGTCAAAAAAGGAATAAAAAAATCATAAATAAAAGCTAAGGCAACAACGGAACTGAATCAAGGTAAAACACCAACCTCCAGACTTCTTCACCGATGAAGCTGGGACCACACAATTTCTCTTCAGGAACGTCGTTGTAAGAATCTCCCGCGCCCCCCCGCGCGCCGCCGCCCCGCAGGCCCTTCTCATAACAAAAAGTCGCAATTGGCGAATCCGCTATACTTTTCATGGAAATTCATATAGAATCTGCCTTACCTTAAGCTGTTCCTGCGTAATTTCGGACATTGTCGATACATCCAACGAAAATGGCGTTGCTGTACTTACAGTTATTGTGTCGGTCACAGATGAGGAAGTCTGTAAAAAATTCAGCTCTAAGAAGGGAAGCACACGTTATGAAGCAAATTCATGAAAACATTGACA